GGCGTTTACTGACATTCTGACGAACATAGCAGTTAAAGATAGCACTTAAAATACAGGAGAACAAAACTGCATCTAAATTAAAAGGCAAGACAATAGGAGACAAAGGGGGAAAAGCTACAACAATAAGATTTCTCTTTACTATTATACTGGAATTCTAATCATCTGCTTTATCCAACAGATGCACACAACTTTTCTCTCACATTATCTGGATTCACATAATGACTTTCCCACCAGAATATTCTGAAAGCAAATGCACCTTTTATCCAGACCAAGCAAAGTCTGAGTTGGGGGGAATGGGTGGAGGCGCAGATGTTTTAAGTTATAAACACTATACACCAAACTGACAGAATTATTTCAGGAGCGTTAAATATGGCAAATGGAGCCCATTCTGCTAGCGATTAACATAAATTAAATGTTGATGGGAACTTCATTGGTGTCATGATCTCTAACTTTACTGTATTTGTGTTTTATTCCACTGGAAACAGCACCAGCTTTATTATTTCTTGCACTGTAATTATCACTAATGGGTTTCACCCTAGTAGGATCCCACCTGTATTTTGGATTATTTGCTTGACTTCTTTCTCTCACAGCTGAAACACAACTGCAAAGAACACCCAGGCTCTGATTGCCTCTTTTATTTGCAAGTGATTTACAGGAGAAGATTTTAAGCTTTGCTGTTGGCCTGAAAGTCCCTCTGCAGTCTTACTCGCTATTCCCCAGGACTGTTCCTTCCCTACTTGCAAAACCGCTGGGTTCTGTTTGTCAAGGGACAGCCAGCACTTGGCAGCACATTTAACTTCATCCTTTCACAATGAGAAAGGTCGTGCCTCTGCTGTCAGCTTCCACTGCTAAAACGTTCTGCACCACATTACTCATGATCCTGGGCTTTACAAAAGCAACTCGACATAACAATGCTTGCTATACACAAGTTAATCCCAGTATATCCCAAGGTGTCAAGGAAACCCCCTACAAAATAGCTGGATTCCTTTCACACACGTATCATCTGAGAAGCGTAAAGTCTCTAGTTAAGTTCTGTGGTAATAAACTATAACAAGAAGATCGAGATTGCTTTTGGAAATAAAAGACGCTATTTTAGCCTTTTCCTATGATTGTGATGCCAGTAGTACACAGCCACCCTGATGTGTTTTGAGCATGAAATCGTACTAATTTTCCAAGGCAGTAAAAATACTTAGCTTATTTCCATTTCGTGCAACTGTGATTTTCAAGATGACAGATGGTAATAAAGCACTGGCTTTCACAAGTCATTTCACGTGCAGTTATGTTTTTCCTAGTTGCATTTCACTAATTACAGTCTCACCTGGTTGGACACTAGCTCCGTTTTATATCATCCTGTCCCTCAACTTGGATTTCATGCAGGTATGTGAATTGCTAAGGGATCATACATGTATTGCTACATGCTATCCATTGCATATTTATGTATAACTGGTGCCACCTCCATTAATGTATCCTTTATTCCTTAGCAACTAAGAAGTGAGACTGTGTTGTCACCATTTTGATGTTTCTTTTCTATTCTTTGTGATTTCCTGAATAGAGTCACATCTCTTATAACAACATAGATACTACTTTTTAAAATAGGTGAAAACAGAGTCAGAGAATAGCCAATGCATGTTAATCAGCCCTCCCCTTAAGTAAGTAAAAAAATGCAAAAACCAAAACAAAATAAGGGAAGCCAGTTTCTTCTCCATGGCAGCTCAGAATAACCCAAAGAAAGAGCAAGCGTGAATACCCCTCTCATCTTCACAAGAACCGAACAGAAAATACGTGTGTTACAATTTTGGGAAAGCCCAGAAACTTCTGGATCTTGCCTGAAAAGGAAATGCAGCTCAGAAGACCCTTTCAGAGAGAAGGTAGAAAACAGCAATGATGCATTAAAAGAGCCTTGGGTTTTTAACCAGAAACACTTCCATGAGTAGTAGCCAATGCAAAGCCTTCCAGCAGCTGCCAAAGGATTCCGGCTGCCCCAGCGGTAGCTGCCACCACCGGACCCCTGGGGAGGGCTGCACTCACCTGGTCACATCCTGCGTTCACCAGCTCCTGTAGCATCTGCCGGTTGACTTCCGCAGCTGCAGAAGTGCCCGATTCGTTAGCAAAAGGCAACAAGGAATATCTGATTTCCCTCAACGCTTTCTGATAAGGTCCAAACTTGGGGGTGGCTCTCATCTGCTGCTGCCTGGCAGCATCCTTGCTCCCCAGGACTTTGGCATCCAGGGAAGTGTCACTGTTTGGTCCCACAGGTAACCCCTGAGCCGAAGACTTGGATGGTTGCTTTAACCCCTCTCGAATCTCTTGCAGTCGCTGCCGGCTATTTCCAGAATAAGTCGTGGCAGGAAAAGTCTTTGGCCTCATTGTTAGTCCAGTCTCCTTTTACCATAAATACAATCTTCTTAAA